CTCTTTCCCGACATAATGTTTCCGTTTGGGAAAGACGGGGAAATCACAGAGCACAAAATGTTTGCACCCCCAGTATTTTTTAGATTTTTTGATAAAATATTAGTAAATTTTAAAGGTGTGGAAATTTCGTGCCGGCGGCTGTTTTACCTCCTTTTTTTCGTTGGAAAAAAAAATGTTGCAAGTTTGGAAAATATTAAAAAGAGATGAAACCAACCTGCAAGTCGCAAGTTTGGAACTACTTTTTTGTAGCAGGACAAAACTTCTTCAAAACCATGGCAAGGAGAGTGGTCACTGTGGAAGCTAAACACTTCTGTATCATGAGTGGTAGCTATATGGTGGGGGAAAAGAAAAAACAATAAAGTAAATCCAGTTATTACATCTTGAAGTATTGCTGGAAAAACATGTAGAACAGCAGAAGAATGAGATGAGAGAATACCGTCACCGAAACCGAAACAAGGAATTAAGTTGTCTTCATCAAAGGGGGCCAGAGTTTTTCCAACAATGGAGATCGCCTTTTCATACGGATTAGGCGTGCTGCCAATTGCGTGCAGGCTCCGGTTATTGAACGAAACTTTCCCTTCAATACAAACATTGGTGCATAATTGGCTTCAGAGCTCTACAAGTCAAATGGAAAACTATTCTTTTCCCAAGCAGAAAATAAGCACAAAGAAGCCATAATCCTTAACATCCTTGCATCACTTCGGAATTAAAACAAGTGACAACGTTGTTTTCTGGGAGAATAACTGATGTATCATGGAAAAGGAGGGGCAACATAAATTGCATTTACACGATATAATATATACTTGCAAGCATAAATAATGCATAACCAATTCAGTTAAGTTTGAATGTGAACAGAACTCAATCGAATAGAGACCGATTGGTAATTGAGACGGTTACCGAGACAGAGCATATGAATACGTTTAATGTGATTGAATTGTTATTGGAATAGAATGACAATTCCTAAGAAACAGTTATCCTTATATTTTGGTTGAGCAAAGAGTATATGAATACGTTTTGGTTTGATGAAATGACTATTGGAATGAATGATAATTCATAAGAAATAGCTATGCTTACGTTTGGTTGAGCAAAGCATATGTGGGTAAATATGATTAGATTAAATGAGTATTTGAATGGAATTCTTATGTTTGGTTAAGTATAGAGTTTATGAGTGCGTTTAGTTTGATGAAATGAATATTCAAATGGAATGACAATTTTTAAGAAACCATTATTCTTATAAATATATTTTATCGCTATATCTTAATATTTACCTTAAATTACCTCTCCACTATTCTAATATAAATATATTATAAAAACCTAAACCAAGGATAATATTTATCAAAAAAGTTATTATTACATTTCATTCCAATAATTAACTAAACAAAATAACTATGATTCCATGTGGGTTTTAATATTCAACCAAACATTGTAATTAGAAAAAATCAATCATTCTATTCCTACTCCAATTCCATTATCTTTTCATTTAAAAAAATAAATAAATCCATTATATTTGTATTCTTGTGCACATTCTAATTCCATCGAACCAGAGATCAGCTGTGCAGTACACAAACCTGTCCATTCATTGCTTTTCGTAAAGTCAATTCCTAGAATGAGATTTGATGATTCTAGACCTTCTTTCCGCAAGGCCTCTGTAACCTGAAAGGGGGTTGCACGTTAATGTGACTTGTGTTGACAACAATGGTCAACAGAGACTATGAAACAATAGTTTCATATGGATGTAAACGAGTGTAGCAACACAATAGTTTCATATGGTAAAAATAGACCAGTAGTCATAGTTGTACGCATAGCCTAACAATAATTTCACACTCGATGTAGAGTTCAAATCCCCACACCCCAAATCTTTCTCCTAAAATGTAGAAATGGATGTGATTATTTTAGGGCATTTACAAATCTAGAAATCAAATTATTTAGGTTGTTTACTAACTTGAGTATCAAATTTCCATGCAAAGATCCTTTGGCGTGGGGAGATTTCACCCCATATTCCGCGCTGTCTATGCTTATTCATTAAGTTTAGCTTATTGAATATTGACCAACTCTTGTTTTAGCTTTTAATGATCAAATCCACAAGGATCATAACATATCAAATAAGATAATGGAAAGCATGCTTTGTGCAAGGAAAAGGTAGTTGTGGACTTCCATTCTCAATATCATGTCTGGCAAATGTGAGGCTTTGTCCGCACATTCTCGACAATGCCCTCGCGCTCCAAATCCTAGAGCTCCCATTAGACTCTCCATCCCTCTTTTTCTCACTTTCTCTGCGTTTTTGTCTCTCTCTCTCCATCTATCTATCTTTGTGTTTCCTTCTCTTTCTGCATTTCAATTTGTACATCAAACTCTCTCTCCCTCTCTCTCTTCGCGTGTCAAACTCTCTCTCCACGTTTCAACCTCTGACCAACCAAAGGGGGAAAATGTGAGCTCCAAAGCATGTATTCAAAGGGGAATCGTATTCAAACAAGTGTTTGTTTGCGAAACGTAAAAAGGGGTTTTAACTCTTGATGTGACGTTTAAACCATAAAAAACAAAGGTCTCGTTCATTTCACCGATTCGAGTTTTTAATTTTAGGTTTCTACAGTAAAAAGCTCTCAGAAAATGTCACATTTAACTTTTTCTACTACAGTGAAAAGCTCTCAAAAAAATGGCACATCTCAGCTCGAATTGAAAACTCGAATCTGCGAAGTGAACGATGCCAAAGAGTTTCTAAACTCAACCCCCTCCCTTGGATTCTCATAGTTTGAATGTAGGTTCAAGCCACACAGTTTAAAATTCATATATTTCAAACTCAAAAGTTCAAACCAGCTTGATTTGAATCATAATATCAAAAGGACAAATAATATTAAAAATGGTCAAAATTAGAAAATCAAAAAATAAAAAATTTCTTCTATCTAACTATTTACTTAAAATAAGAAAATTGAGGACATGTATTTAGGCTGACTGACCTAACGCCCACCCAACCCAATAACCTCAAACTTTTGTAAACTCATTCTCAATTCCATTTCTACCTAACGTGGTACTTTTTTTGTACATTCTCAATATCATGTCCCCAACCGGTGCAGTCGCGGTGGCTTATGATGAAGAATGAGAAAAGTGGGAGGATCATTTGGTGTTGAGAGTGTTAGGATTTTTAATCCTGTGGCACAAATCTTTCCTTGTGGCATTTGTGACTGGCGTGGAATTTGTGCGTGTTTATTGTTATCCTTGTATCAAATCAATCAAATATGTTCACACAGTGACAGCTGGTATAAATGAAGCAAGATCACAATCAAATCTCAACCCTGATCAAGTGGAGAGACCCTAGACCTCTCTCATATCCGGATTCATTATTTAAGGAGGTCTCATTCAGACCTTTAAGAATGAGAAAGCACGGATTTATTTTGAGTGTTTTATTTGTCAGTGAACATTTGAGTGCTCCCATTATACTTAAGAGTGAGAGAAAATTAGAACATTTTCTTAGACTTAATTTGTAACTCTCAAACCCTATGGTCTGCAGACTTTGTAAGGATCTAGAGTAAGTCTGAGGAGGAGCCGAAGGCGGATCGAGGTGCTCGGAGTAAGTCGGGAGAATTGAAGGCAGGCAACGTGCTTGGAGTAGGTCAGGAAGACCGAAAGCGAGCAGAAGACTCGGAGTAAGGCGATGAGTCTAAAGGCGAGTTAAGTAGAAGTCACCGTGAGTTAGGAGTTGGTGTAGATTCGGAGGTTTCTTCTAAATCCAAGCTTTGTAACTGTTTTTGGTGATAGTTCCTTCTTTGTGCTGGTGTGTTCAGCATGCGTGGTTTTTTTCGAAAGGGTTTTTGACCACGTTAAATAACCATATCGCTGTGTCTTTTATTATTCTGTAATTTTCTATTAACAAAGAATTCATTCTAACAAAGGACATGGAAGCGTCATCCTTGGTTTATATTCTATTGAACATTAGAACATTTTAAATTTGTTTTAACCATATATGTAATCTTTTCGATTGTCGTGCAATATGTATGTGATTATCTGTGTTAGGTTTTAAAAATCATTTATCAATTTTAGTGTCAGGAACCAAAATTACCAAAAAAAGAAAAGATTAGGGAATAATTTACTAAAGTTAAAATTTAAGGGCCAAATCTACCAAAAACAGAAAAGTTTAGCGAGTAATTTTTAAAAAATTAAAATTCTGGGACCAAATTATCATAGAGCTTGTAGTTTAGAGACTAATGATGCTAATACTCCATATATATTCTTGTTTATTATTGTTGTTGTTGGTGCTCGTGGTGGGTTTGCATTATAAAATAATTATCATCCGATTTTGTTATTTTCAAAATATTTTATTTTTTGTTGTTGCTATTTATTATTGTTGTTATATATTCATAAATTGTTATATTTAAAAGTATTTTGATCGTAAAAAATTTTTACTTTGAGCTTGAGGGACTCACACAGAGAAGCAAAGCAAAGCATAGATTCATCAATAAATATCAACAGAGCATATTGTTAAAGCAAAAATAAACAAAAACTCAGAAAGAACGAATTTGAAGCTATCTACTTGTCAAGTGGTTGCACCACACTAAAGAAAAAGAAACAGTCAAGTCAACTTTCTTTTTAAAAGCTTTTTACAGTGTATTTATGACGTCATTGATAGTTGCGAAACGTGTAATTGGCCAATGCAGTTCAAGAATTTGAAAAGAGAACCAATCATAGTATTCAAGTGTTCTTATCTAAAACATTTTAAATAAAATAAAATTATTCACGGGTGAAGCCCTAATCCAAACTCCAAACACCAAACTCTAAGAGGGAAGCGTTTTTCTTACTTCAACCCAAAACCATTTTAGATAAACAACAGTGTGGAGACGACTTTGGATTCTTTCACGTCAGTCTTTTTTAAATCGCCTCAGTATAACTACACTTCGAGTCCGTTTAGTTTATAAATTAAAATTATGAGATTAAAATTATTTTTAATTTATGTGTATTTTTTATGAGAAAAAATATTATAACGAACCATGAATCATGATTCGAATCAGATAACGAATCCTCTAATCAAATAGGCTTTTCAAATTTCTGAGTGTCAAAAAGTCAACATCTTGACTAAGAAATAGACACAGATAATAAAAGTCTTGTTTATTTCAAACTTCAAATTATAATGTTATAGTGTTTTTTTATAAAAATGTAAATTTAATATTTTTATTACAGTATTTTTTTATTATGTATATAACTCAAATTATAATTTAAATTGTATAGACGAACATATTTAAAAACTTTTTAAGTCGCAATTATCTTCTAAGAAAAATATCTCTGTTTTCCTTATTATCATACAAAGATATTTTAAAAAAAAATGAAAAAAAATAAAACTTTTTCTGTTAGGTCTCTACATTGGTAACGTCAGTTTCAAAAATTAAATTAAATTAAAATTACATTAGATTAAAAAAATGTGAAATATATAATTTTTAATATAAATTTGATTTAAAAATTAAAAACAATCTAATCACACACTTATAATTTAGAGATGCTTTAAAAATTAAAAAAAAATAAAAAAATAAAAAAAAACCACAACACTTCCACCTACCGTTCATTTATTTATTTATTTTTTTTTTCAAAATCATCTCTGCAATCCATATCCATTGAAACTGAAAGCAGCAAAAAAAAAAAAGAAAAGAAAAAAAGGGGGCTAATTTGTTTAACCATAGATTAAGAAGAGAAGAGACTTGTACCTGGGGAAGGGAGGTAAAGCTGTCAGGTATATATGCATACTTGTGCTTCTTGGTTCCTGCGGATTTACTAGTTGTACTGCTCTTATCCATGGATAGTTCTCTCGAAATAGCAGGTCTGTACGAAGCTCTCGCAGTTGTTACGCTGGGGCTACTGCTCCTGTCGTCTCTTCTAAACGCTCGTCGTTGTTGCTTACTAAGAATTGACAATATCCCACCCATATTTGCCAAAACCTATATCGCTAAGATACAAATATATATATGTATACACACACATATATGCGGGAGAGAGATTGTATGTGAAAGATAAGCTATAGGGAACCACGACTCAGAAGGGGAGAAATCAGGGAAGCAAGGAATAAAGTGGCTTGCTTGTTGGAGCTCTTTATTCTCTGCATATTTTTGGGAATGGTTTTTCACCCTTTTGCCCCTTAATTTGAAATTTGCCTTTTTGAAGTTCTAAAATTATAGTCGGTAATATGAATCATAATATGATAATACGATTTAAGAGTGGGATAATATGTTAGAATGATTTTTTAACAAAGTAAAATTAGTAAAATGATCTTTTTTTATTTTTTATGAAGAAAGATATTCTTTGTAAAATGAGGTTATTTTGTAAATAAAATTTTTAAGAAGTTATTTTACTAATAAAATTTTTCAAAAGAGTTATTTTTACAAAGGCCTCTTTAAGAATGATACGAATTTTATAGGTTAAAGTTGAGAAAATGAATATTTGGGTTAAATTTGGGTCGATTTAAAATTGACATGAAAAATACATATCAATTTTAAGTTGGATTCACCTAACCCGAACACGACACGAAACTTGTAAAAAATTAAAAAATATATATTTTTCATTACATATTTTACATTTTATTATGAACTTATAATATTATGATAGTTATACTCAAAATCTTATATTATTATTTGCTTAATTTTGATGGATGTTATTGTATTTTAATGTGTTATGAATTTGAAGTTATTTCTAATATATAAAAAATTAAAGAAAAGTATATAAAATTCGTATTAATTTTAGGTTCACATGTCAATTTCGTGTTACGGATCATTTTTATATCATGTCGTGTCAACCTATAAAGTGGTCATATCGTGTTCGTGTTGCAGTTTTTAAAAAATTTCGTGTCACATGTCATGTTCAGATTAATTGCAAATTTAAGAAGAAATTATCAAATATGACACGAACACGACACGTGATACGAATTAGCACTCCTATCTAAAATAATTAATTCACCCCTCTAACTGGTTACATTATGGGACTATTTATTAATTTTGCATTAAATTTTGGTCGGATTTGAGACATTGAGAGATGTATTTAAATTGGGATTTTGGAATCTTTAGTTAAACATGTTTTTCTGTCACCAACTTAGCGCAATTACTCGTTCATTTCACCGATTTGAGTTTTATTATAGTCCAAAGTTCTCAGAAACAGTCACATTTGATATTTTTACTACAGTAAAAAGTTCTCACATAAAATCACATCTCAACTCAAATTAGTGAACTAAATGGGCCCAACAAAATGAGTGTTAAACTTCAATAATTTAGCAAGTTGCAGAAGTAAACTGTAAAAATTTATTTACTTTGTAAATGTATATTTATCTATAAAGTTTTAGTATTTACTTTAATGTTTATTGATTTATGCCCTTACTAAAACACGTTAGTTACCTGAAATTGAAGAAAAATAAAACAAACAAACAAATTAAAACCCTAAACCCAAATCCTTAATTTTGGAAATTCCTGAACTAGAAACACTCTTGATATTAGCAAGAGAGAGAGAGAGAGAAATACATGTGGTTTTTCATAGTTTTGTGTATGCCTATTATTTATGTTCAGTTTAAATAATTAGGTATCATCATGACTCTTATTTTTTCTTTATTAATTGAATGGTAATCGTTTACTTTTTAGTATAATGGTATAAATAATATTTTTTACCACCTTAAGTGGTATTTTTTGTTTTTCTTAAAACAAAATACCAAAAAACAAAGAAAGAAAGAAAGCAAGAAAGAAATAAAGAACTTAGAGAGTCACTGAAAAATAGAGGAGCATTTTTGGACAGAAGTTTAACACACCATTGGGCAAGTGGCCATTATTTTTTTTCAATAGGCTCATCGTCAAATACTAAGTTTAGAGTAAGGTTCATGCCACCTATAGAAGAAAAGGATTGTTGAATCGAAATGGGGCATCGTTAGTTGCAAGGTGTTTTCATGTGTATCGGTCTTCGTCTCATCTTACTTCTTAAGGGGCGCTTGGTATGCGGTAATATACATGAATCATATTACTGAGAAAGTGATAGAATGTAATACGATTCTCAGAAAATATGTATTACCACGTTTGGTTATACATGGGAATCTTTTTTCATATTCCCGAGAAAATTATTTTATTGTGTTTTGTTGGTATAAAGTAATGTAATGTATTTCTTCTTTATCAATAACTAATTTTAAATATTTTAAATACTAAAATTTTGATTATTCTTAAAAAACACAAAAAATCTTTTTAGTTTAAGGAATAAATTTATAATAAAAAATCTTAATAAATTTTTAAAAATTAAAATTTAAGTAAGAATAAAACAAATATTAAGTTAAAAAAATTACAAAAAATAATAATAATAATCTTCATTCTTCCTAAACCAACAATTTGTGTTTATTTTTTACCAAAAAAAAAAAAGCAACATTTTCCTCTGATACAGCCCCTGGGGGCCTCCCATTGGGGGTTGTATCCGCACTTAGGAGGCCCCCGTTGGGGCTGAATTAGCCCCTGGGGGCCTCCCATTGGGGGTAATTCAACCCCTGGGAGGCCCCCATTGAGGCTGATTCAGCCCCTGGGGGCCTCCCATTGGGGCTGTATCAGCCCCTGGGAGGCCCCCGTTGGGGATGATACAGCCCCTGGGGGTCTCCCATTGGGGCTGATACAGCCCCTGGGGGCCTCCCATTGGGGGTGTATCAACCCCTGGAAGTCCCCTGTTGGGGCTGATACAGCCCTTGGAAGTCCCCCGTTGGGGCTGATTCAGCCCCTGGGGGCCTCCCATTAGGGCTGTATCAGCCCCTGGAAGGCCCCCAGGGGCTTATACAGCCCCACTGGGAGGCCCCCAAGGGGCTTATACAACGCCAATAGGAGGCCCCCAGGGCCTGATTCAGCCCCAACGGGGGCCTCCCAGGGGCTGATTCAGCCCCTGCGTGTGTGTGTTTGTGTGTGTGTCTATGTACTTACAAATTGTGATTTATTTTAATGATGAAAGTGTTATTTTAGATGTGTGATAAGGACGATAATACGAAATGGCCGGCAGCAATTGAGAATTTTTATGTATAACTGATATATGAGGAGTTAAAGACTGGGCTGCAAACATCCACTTTGGACAAAAAAATGTGGATGAAAATTGCTAATGAAATAGCACTTAAGTTTGGTAAGCATTTCACAGCAGACCAGCTTAAAGCAAAGTGGAATAGGCTTAGACGTAGCATGAGGGAGTTTAAGGCATTAATTGAAACAACAGGGTTTGGTTAGGATTCTGAGGCTAACACTGTCACGGCTGAAAAAGAAGTATGGGATTCATATGTGGCGGTAAGTTTTGAGCATTAACATCTTATGTTATATGAAAAAGTTGAATTGGTGTTAGAAACATCCTGAGGCTAAGAAATTCAAGAAATGGAGTTTGCAGAACTTTGCCCAACTTTCACAGATTTTTTTGGGACTATTGCTACTGGACAGGGGTCAATGAATGCACATACTGCCGTTAATATTTTGAATATGGCGAAAAGGGCTACCACACAACCGGAAGAGGAGGAGGAGGGTACAGGGGACTCGGATGAAGTCCGGGGTGCAGAAGCCAATAGAAACAGCCAGTCTCAGGGTCCTACTACTCGATCCAAGAAGAAGGGCAAGAACAATACTGCAATTGACGCGGCTATAGAGGCTTTTGTTGGGAATAGTGTCCTAGAAACATGAGACGTAATAGGATATTTATTATTTAATTAATAAAAGAGTTTATTCACCATTTATGTGCATATATTTATGAATATCAAATGAAAATTTCGTGATTGTTTATGTAACCTTAAACATAGTATATAAGTGTTATATATGAAATGATAGTGTTTAAGGATAATAATCAAAAACATTGTTCATGATGAATTTAATTAAAGTTTGAAATCTTTAATTAAAGCATTATTAATACATGTCATTCCCAGTTAGAATGGAACGATGTTATCCGCACTGTTAATATGGCGAGATATTGAATGAGTGTATTTCGCATAATAAGATTATGTGGAATAAGGACACAGACACAATATGAATTTCTAATAATTTTCGTTAAGCATTGAAATTCTAATTGAGTCTACCGATGGTCATATATAGGATGATCTTAATCATGAGTTCTTAACAAACTCCTATTTATGGATTTATATCTTTTGATTTACTCAATACAGATTCCGATACCCTGAATCCTATTCCTTGTATTTTGGAGACATAATAAAATAGCTAGCTGGGAATGTTATTATACGAGATGGAATCCATTTCTTCTTGAGAAAGAAGTAGATAAATAATTCTCTTGAGTGTTGATTCGGTACTTGGATTAGTAAGAGCGCTCTGGTTCATGAATGTGTTTTATGAATCACTATCCATTAGAGAATCAATGGTACTCAAGGATGCAGATATAATTAGA